ATTCTTATTATAACTGTCTTAAAACTTCTGATTTTACATATATGACTTTTGATTATGGTTATAGACAGTACTACAACATTACGGTCTGAAGAAAACAAAAACAATGAAACTTGTGTCAGCAATAAGACAGATAGCCAAACAAGGAATGCAACTTCACTGAAAAGTCTTACTGTGACTGCGTCTGTTGGTAAGTACAGTCTTATTAGGACTATTTAAAAAATTCTGGTTTTATATATTATATTTGTCTTACGTATTTATGACTTTTGGTTTTGGTTATATATAGACAATAATACAACGATACAGTTTACTCAAGGAAGCAAGAGCAAAGAAACTCCTTGTGTCATACATAAAAAACATAACCAGAAAAGTAATGCGAATTCACTGAGAAGTCGTATTGTGCCTGCATCTGCTGGTAAGTCCAGTATTAATTAGACTATTTTATAAGGTCTGAGTTTATATGTTTTATGTATTTATATATGTCTTTTGTTTTTTGTTATATATGTAGACAATAATATAACGATACATTTAGCTGTCAAAAGCAAGAGCAAAGAAACTCCTTGTGTCATACATAAGAAAGATAACCACAAAAGTAATGCGTATTCATTGAGAAGTCTTACTGTGCCTGTGTCTGCTGGTAAGTGCAGTATTAGTTTGACTATTTTAGAAGTTCTGATGTTATATGTNTTATGTATTTATATGTCTTTTGGTTTTGGTTACATACAGACAATAATATAGCGATACAATTAGCTGTCAAAAACAAAAACAATGAAACTCCTTGTGTTATAAATAAAAAGATAACCACAAAAGTAATGCATATTCATTGAGAAGTCTTATTGTACCTGCGTCTGCTGGTAAGTTCAATATTATTTAGACTATTTTAAAAGTTCTGAGTTTATATGTTTTATGTATTTATATAAGTCTTTTGTTTTGTGTTATATATGTAGACTATAATATAGCGATACAATTAGCTGTCAAAAGCAAAAGCAATGAAACTCCAAGTGGTATACATGAAACCGATAAGCACAAAAGTAATGCGAATTCATTGAGAAGTCTTCCTGTGGCTGCATCTGCTGGTAAGTGCAGTACTATTTAGACTATTATAGAGGGTTTAATTTTATATGTAGTATGTATTTATATATATCTTTTGTTTTTTGTTCTATATGTAAACAATAATATGGCGATAAAATTCGCTGTCGAATGCGAAAGCAATGAAACTCCTTGTGTTATAAATGGTAAAGATAAACACAAAAGTAATGCAAATCCATTGAGAAGTCTTACTGTGCCCGCGTTTGCTGGTAAGTACATATTTAGAATAGTTTAGAAGTTCTGATTTTAAATGTATTATATATTTATATTTCTTTTGGTTTTGGTTATATACAGGCAATAATATAGGGATACAATTTGTCGAAAGCGAAAGCAATGAAACTCCTTGACTTATAAATGATAAAGATTACCACAAAAATAATGAGAATTCATTGAGAAGTTTTACTGTGCCTGTGTTTGCTAGTAATTACATATTTAAAATATTTTAGATGTTCTGATTGTATATGTTTTATGTATTTATATGTCTTTTGTTTTTGGTTATATACATATAATAATATATTAA